CTCAAAGCCCAGGCTCCAGTCCCAGGAGCTCGCCTCACTGTGAACCATGTTCAGAACAGTCTGATACACATCTTAAGACTCAGTTTTGTAATAATTTGATAGCTCTTTTTGCAATCTGACTGCTTGCAGGAATGAGACATAAGTGTTAGAGTCACAGGGGGGTCTGTAACCAAAGTCCCAGTTTAATTGATGAAAAACACTTTTACCAACAAATTTAAGTAACATCTTACCTGACCAAGTCGTCCTGTCGTTGCCCACGTTGGTGGTTCTTTAACTCTGTAGCTGGAGGCTTAAATCTGAGTCAGAGTATGTTATAGTACACTTCTCAGCTCATCATCACACACAAACCCTGAACCTCTAAAATGCAACAGAACCCCATGCTTACAGTCACTCACTCACAGCAGTTGAATGTTCACCTGCAATTTAGTTACAGCCACAGTCAGAAATCTAGAACATTGTTCATCTGACCTTAGTATAGCTTTGGGGGTGCAAACCCTCATGAAGACGGAACAAAGCAGCTGCCCTCTTTGAAGCCTTGTGTCCGAAGCGTTGAAACATGCTTAAGTTTCAATAAATGCAATTTAAGAACCTTCCCTTTATACAGCTTTATTCATCTTTGGATTTCACAACTGAGATTTTTTTCTATACAGGAAAAAAAAAAGAAGTAATTTTTACAAAGATTTACATTCTAGAATGTATTATCATTTTTATCCTGGAAGACCACATTAAAATATTTTTCTACACTTTAAAAAAAAGTTAAATGACACTTGTGAAACTTTTTGAAAGTATCAAATTAATCTACAGGATCTGTGATGTATTTAAAGAGGCCTGGGTTCTGAAAACATTGCTTTGGAAAAGTAGAACCAAATTAAATTTGTGCTTGGTAAAGAAAGAATTTTACACAACTGACCTATTAACAAAACATGTAGTAAAACACACTAAACAATTTTATTACAAGTTTCTTGATGAAATCACAGTGAATTACTACTATTTGTTTCAAGTAACATTTGTGGAAGTTTCATTTTCAACAAAGTTTTATGGGGTAAGACAGACAGGTGAACGCTGAATGGGATTTTGTGCATAGCTGTGACAAGCAGTAACTACACAGGGAGATCAAAATGCAGCATCTTAAAGCCAATCTTGGGAGGTTTTTTTTTTTAAAAAAAAATCAATCATGAACTCCACATATCAGGGCAAGGCTGGAGGAGAAGTTCTCCTTGAGAAGGATACATTTGACATTACAAATGATTTTCTGGTTTTGGGGTTTGGTTTTGTTTTGTAAACCAGGTTCTAGAAAACACCGTTCCTGCCTGCATAGAACTCATCTGGCTTAATTATACTGTAACCTACCACCACTACTGTATCGTGCTCCTACTACATAATTTAAAACTAACGACTCAATAACTTTCCATGCTTGAACTGGGACTTAGAGTATAAATATAGGGAGCCTAAGGATTGACCTCTTTTTAAAAACTACTTCACTATGCTTGTTCCACACTGGATACAATTTTTAGTCTCTCTCTCACTTGTGTGTGCCAGCACAACCGTTAGAGCAGCTGGATGCTGCTTCTGATGTAGCTGGAGCATAAATGAACTTCCAACTATGCTTCTCTAAATACTTCTTATTTAAAAGCAGCCGTAAATAAAGAAGAGTTTTGCAACTTCACTATGAGCATAAGGATCTTCTTAACAGCTCAGGTCTTTTGACCTCTATCAATCAGATGGTGCACCCTGTTATGCTTTTTGCTTTGATGTTCCGGGCTTTTTTTTTTTTAAAAAAAAACAAAAACAAAAAACTACTGACCTTGACTATTCAGCATACTGAGACTATTGTGAACATTCTGTACATCTGTGACAATGTAAAGTTGCTACAAGGAAACTGTAAACTTCACAGCATCACATCTTTGAACATTTATTCTCGCAGTACAGGCTAACATCACCAAAAATGCAATTCTCTTAGCAGCTTTCAGACGAAATACACGACCTGCATAACAAAAACTAAAGTAACTTGAACTCATCAAGTATTGTAAACACACCTTCAACAAAGCACTGCACGCCCCTTTTACTATATATTTACAACAGAACCACACCATTTTCAAAACTACTGGATTCAAATGGTACAATTTAAGTACAAATAGTTCTCAAGCTTAAAACCATTTTAATTCACTACTGTTCAGGAGGGCACGGGGTGTGTTGTTTGTTTTAAGAAAAGGTACAAACTGTAGATAACGTGTCCAATTGTTTTTCCGTTGTTTAAGTGCTATGTTCCATCACTGCAGTACTGCAAGCACAAACATCACAGCAATAGTTCAGTTATTCCTCCAAAAGAGGAGCAAATCATGAAACAGTTGCATTGTACAATAATAAGATCTAAACTCAAGAACAAACATTGCCAATATTCCTATAGACTAGTGCACAACCAGAGAGACAGAAAGGCAACAGGCACCTTTCTCTCGGGAACAATTCAATGTATGATTCATCCTACACGCGACCGGCGCTGACTGTATACCCCAGAAGTAGCTGCCACTGTTCCTAGCAGAGTCCAGAGGAACTGGCCTAATCTGGAGTCCTTATTAAGTTTTTAATGAAGTTCACCCTTACAATTCTGGGCAAGGACAAACATGCTAGATGAAAACCAAACTAGCACTACCAAGGTTGCAGTTTTCCTAACAAGATGCCTGGCAATTTTGAAGGTCTTTTCTAGTTTTCTGTTTTATCAGAGTTGTTGGTTCAGCTCAGTACTTACGATACCAAAGAATTATACAATTGGGTATTTGGGTTTTATACTTTATGCAGACTGTTAGCTACAACTGACACAGAGGAAATTCTGAAACAAAGCCTTACATAAAAGCCCACTGAGAAGCCCACCTGAAATTTACGTGTGTACAAACCATGTCCTGACAGTAATTAATTCATGATGCAAACAGAAGGAAGGTCGACCTTAAAATTGGTTTTGTCCTTTACAAGTTTTCCCTCAAACTACAAACAGCTCATTGGCTCGTAACTGTAGGGACCTGGCTATCACTTGTGGATTAGAGGAATCTTGAAAAGGGTCTCTTCTCTGAAAAAAAAAAAAATTTAACCTTTTAAATGTAAGAATTGTTTAATAAGCAGTAGCTCAACAATTTAGTCTTCCAACGCACTTTAAAATACTATATAAAGGTTTAAAACATGTAAAAACACAGTACTAGTAACACCGCCAACAGTACAATCCTAAATGAGAAGGTTCCCTCACTATCACCATCAACATACCACGGTCTTGCACTTAAAAACTTAATGTACATTGTAATTTGGCATGGTTAAATATTTTATTGCTATTTACACAAGTTTTGTTGGGTTTTTTTGTTTTGTTTTTGAGAGGCAGCAAAATAACTTTCCTTCAAAGTTGAAAGATGAATGTAGAAAAGACATTCTTCAATTTCTTTTAAGTAATTCCTTCTTACCAAAATCAGTTCTGTGTCTAAATAATTTTGTAGGGTTTTTTGGGAAGTCAGACTTTTGTAACAGTCTCCGAGTGAAACACTGAACCCTACAGAGCCGTGTGTTAAAGGCCCATTGAGCCACTCCTGCGCAGTAGCACCGTGCTGGGCTGAAACAGGTTGACTGCGAGGGGTGTTTGCAGCGGGAGAGTCTCACGGGCACTGCCAGCGGAATTGGTGACACCACCGCCAGCTGTTCAGTGACACGACGGCTGTGGCAGAGTTCTCCTGCCCTCTCCCCAGCCCGCCTGCCGGTCGGACACCGGCACCCAGCCAGCTCGGCAACCTAACGTACAGTTCTTAATGCAATGCCAGCTCGGTCTGGCTTTGTCCAGAGTTCACCAATGGGTGCATATAACACGTCTTGCTTTAGAGGGGGGGAAAAAAAAAGTAAATATATTATGTATATTTTTTTATATAAAAAGCTCTTAATAAAAAGATTAAAACTCATGAGTCTACATTATATGAGTATATATTGTTAAGATAACTGAGCAACAACTTGTTCTTGCTCGAGTTCATTAATGAATTGCACTACTCTGTGCTAAAACTTCTACATATTAGCAGCATCACATCCCACCGTTTCTAAACTGTCCTTATAGCAGGTATACCATACGCAGCTTTCTTTAAAGAGATGCTAATAAGGTACCTCCTGGTAAACATAGTCAAGTGCATTACACATACAACTTTTTGCATCAGGTATTGTAGCACAACTTAAAACCAGATGCAAAGCCAGTCAAATACTTCTATGAAGTACTAATTCTAATGACTCTTCACAGCCTTTTCAAATACTACAACTTGCTTATGTCCCTATGTTTTACCTCCTTCAGTCGGTGCTAACCTTGAACAAATATTCCAGCTTTTCCCAAAGTTAATTTTGTTCGGCATTTTCCAGCTCACAACTATGACCACAAATACATTTGTACACACACCAGTTGTTTTTTTTACTTTCTCATCCAACTTCACATGAATAAGGTGGTGTTTTTTTTTTTTTTTGTTTGGTTGGTTTTTTTACAAAAGATGAACAAAATTACAAGTTTTACAGAAAAGCAAAAGGAAATACTAGTGTCTATACGATACTGAAAACATACATACTTAGTTCCAGCAGCAGTCCTGTATACAGACAGCATACATATTAACCCTAAGTAGATTTAACATGGATGTGTGGTCAAACAAGTTGCTTGCCACTTATGGCCATCTAGTGCTTCCACTGGGGCCCTTCAAACTGGAGCGGTCCTTTGCGCAGCAGCTTCTCCACAGTGTACCAGCCTAGCGTGCAGCTGCCTGCCCCGCTGTCCTCAGCTATCACGGAGAAAGGCAGAATTTGGGATCAGCAGAAGGAAACATTGGAGCACTTTCAGCAAACAGAGAATGGGATTGTGAACTCCAGTGGACAAGCAAGAAAGTCAACCTGAGGCTCGATGTTTCCCTAAGAGCAACAGCAGCTGCTCTGGGACAGTTGCAGTCCAAAACTTCAGCGTTCCATCGACCATGAAAGGTAAAGGCCAAAACATTTTCCATTTCTCCTGATCAACGCAAACCGTCCTATATCCATCAATTATTGTGCCCTAAGACTTCTATCAACAAGTATCAAAGTTATGGTCACAGGTATTGCTAGTCATGCTATCTGTACATAACGTAACCCCAACCATCTCTTCCGTAAAATTTAATAGCTCAATCTAGTGGTTAAGTAAGCCGTGTCTAAGTGCTGTTTCGCCAGCTATGGGTTCTAACATTACAATAATCCGTGGTGCAAAGGAAAGCCCCACCAATACAGTATGCTCAATTTGAATTTATACAGTAATGCACATAAATTTGTCCTTTTCTCATTCCAGCACTGTATATTTTTACTGCTACACATTTAATTTCGCCTGCACCTTCAAACATCTTTGCATTTTGGTATGCTTTAAATATGTTTGTATTTTTACATTTTTTTGGCTGCTGTAATATTCAGGTCTAGTAAAGAAATCAATGTAAGTAGCATGAATGGGAGCAGTGCAATGAGCAATATATATCTATATAGTTTTCCTTTAGAAGAAAATACCCACTAATGCTGTGTTTAAAATCGCTCCTATTTAGAAAAGTAAAACCAGCAGTCTATTGGAAAAAAAAAACAACCAATAAAATCTATAAACTAGGTGTTCCTATACATAATGATGAGGAACCAAAGCTTTGAAGGTCTCAGTGCTTCTTTATTCACCAAGGAATATTAGCTAGCTTCTGTCCAAGAATCTCAATGCGCCAAATCAGTATGACTGACACTCAGAGTTCTCGAGTCTGTCAGACAATTATTTCGTTCCTGTGTGAAGGGGAAAACAAACAAACAAATAAATTAAGCAGATGTCCAGACAGTTCAAGCAAATAAACAAAATTACTAGTTTTAACACACAGGAACAAACAAATGTAAGGAACTACAGAGAACTGGCCTTGTTCATGTTGGCTAGGGGGACACTCTTCCGTATTCAAATAAACACCTTTTTTCCCACCTTTCAACTGGCAAAACTGAAGAGATCTACTGATATGTATATACACATATACACCCTTTACAAACCTGACCCAAGTCCCTTCTATGGGAATTTCCATGAGTGTCTACAGTGGGCGAACTAGAAAAGCTCAGAAGAAGCGAGAACTAATTTTAATGTCGCAGTGGACACACAAACAATAAATTACTCTTCTGCAAGTCACATCAATCATATACTACAGATGCTGTTTAGGGGCACCTAGGGCATGACATTTTGAAACCTTGCTGCTGTTCTGCAAAGAATTATGCTTTACCCTGAAATTTTTTTTTTTTTTTTTTTGGCTGAGGTTCACCCTAGGCAAAGTTCTGCATACATTTCACACCACAGAAAACTGCAGTATGTTCATTAGAGAGAATACAGTTAAGACACCTTTATGCCACTCAACAATGAACTGAGAGCCATACAGTTTGGGCTTTCTTGCTACGGTAGGACAAATAGTGATCAAGATCCTCATGTACAGTTTTGTTAGTACAGAAGCAATTTTATCTTCCAAAAATTAGTTGCAGTTACTGTGTTAGTAAAATGCACAACAGTGTTTAGAACGCAGAACGTTGCTGCTTATTGGACAATATAAGAAACAGTGACTTAATAGGTAAAAACAGGAACTGGAAAGTAGCGATCAGGCGCACCATACGCAGTTAAGCAAAATAAGGTTTTTTATTAGCAGAAGCATAACATAGATCAGACAACCTTTTAGAGACTGCTCCTCTACAACCTCAGAAACAACTGAAGTCGCACTTAAGGGAATTTGAAAACATACAGCAACTAAATGATTTGGCCCTTTGCAATAAAGGGGCTGAAGTAAAAAGTACTTCGTAACTAGGCTTTAAAAGTTCTTGTCTTTTTTAATTAGTGTTTATAAGAATGTAAGAATCCAGAAGTTTCATATCCGCTGTAATAGTTAGAAGGTCCAAAGCCAGAGACTGCTTGATACCGTAAAAGCCAATGCTCTTTACTGGTTGGACTTAAGCACTTGCTTAAAATTAAGCATAACTCACAAAAGCATTGCGGAACGATGCCTTAAGCATATGCTTTAAATATCTTACTAAAGTAGGATCTTACCAAACACTAGGAGTTTGCCTTAAGCATATGCTTTAAATATCTTACCAAACACTAGGAGTTTATTGTTTTATTATTCATCATACTCTTTTTATCCCAAACCCTACTAATGATATCTATTTTTGTAAGAGTATTGTAGGGCTTCTTACTTGAAAATGATCTTCAGTAGCCTTGCCACCCATGTTAAGAACATTCAGAGAACTGGCACGCTTCATGCTGCAACCAGGACAGTGAACATGCAAGGATAAACCAATCAGAATAGCTGAAAACTAACAGCTCTAAAAACACAAGTATAACAACGAGCAACGCACAGATAAGGGAGTTTGAACAATGCCCCAAAACTGATCTAAGGGATACCCTTTAAGATAACTACATAACTTAGAATATGTTTATATTTGGTTCTAAATTACACATAAACCCAAAAAAATTACAAGCTCCTCAGAGCTTAAACATTTCACACAACTGATTTAATGTCAACTCAAAATAAAATCTCAATTTTTAAAGCATATCAAATTAACACACTGTCTTAGCATTTATTTTTAGTTAACATTCCCAGTTTCAATTTTATGCAGCTTCTTACAAAAGCATCAAAACATTCAGTCAGTTTAGAGAAAAAAATGTGAAATATAAATCGTTTTGTCACATAAGCAGCATTTAACTTGGAAAAGCTACAACAGTAGTTTAGTATTTTCTGCCTCATCTAGGTAAGTCTTCAGAATCAATTTCAAAAAACATTTTAAAATCTTTTATTTTAAACTTTTCAAAGCGAGGGAAAACCAAGATGGTTGTTGCTATTAACTTTGGTTATGCTTTTGGCTTTGCAATGCTCTGAGCAGTGGTAACAACAACCCTAGAATACTGTATTGAGAGCAACAAATGAGGAAAAAAAAGTTAATCACCTACACAGGAGCTACTGACAGTCAAAATATCACTGCATTAACTGTAGTATCTACTGTGGTTTGAGATGAGGATTAATAATTCACCTACGTTTCTCAAACGTATACAAATTTAACAAAAATATTTTAAAGTGTGTGTAATGAAACTCAAAATTAACCTTAAAATTTCTATCATCAGGTTGACTACAACAGGAATGTCTGATGTCCTTCATCCGAAGGTGTCTGTACGTTACTCAAAGTACTAAATTTGCTTTGGTTTCTCCCTCGCTCTTCAACTGTTTCAAAAACTACTAAATGAGGGCTTTCAATATGTATTTGATGAACTACTCACAAGACAGCAAGGCTCTAATCCTGCAGTGCTACCTGCAGTTTTAGATACATCTGGCTGATGCAAAGTTTCCAATGCCTTCCAGTAACATGGAAAGGTTTATCCATACAGATCACGTTAGATATTAACCAGTTTTTCTTTCTACTGAAGCAAGACTACTAACAGTCAAAGTCAAGCACAAGTTTTAAATGCTTTCATAAAGCAAAGGCTTAGCAGAATAATGAACCAAAACACTCACAAACACAGGCAACAGCTGCCACGTTAACATAGGCTTACTGTTTTTTCCTAGCATTAAATCTGAACCTTTCAAAAGCTAGTATGCACACAATTTAAAATATTTGACATGAGTGTTAGCAACAACAAAGCAAGGACTCATGCATGGTATACACCTCATTTATTCAAGGAAACATGTACAACAGGTTATATATGGAAGTCAAAGTAAGTTAATCTGTAAAACACAAACAAAATGTTACATAAAACTCTCCGAAAGAGCATAAAGATTTATGGAAAACGTTCCAGGGAAATAGAACATCCACCAGTAAAAATTTACATGTGTATTTTAAGGTTCTTGCTGAAGTGCCAATTAAAAAAAAAATTTTTTTTAATCACGCATGGGATACTGGTTTGTATGCAGGTTGTTTTTTTTTGTTTTAAATCAACATACTTAAGAACTTTATTCAGGCAAATGAACTTTTAATTTCCTCTATGTCAGAAACACAACTGCACAAATAGCATGCAGTTGTTTTTCTGGTGCATGAGTAATAACAATAATGAAAGCTTTCACTCCCGCCCCTCCTTTTAAATTACAAATCTTAACTTTTCTGCTCTATGATCAAAATTTTAAAAGTGAAAAAAAATCTAACCTAACACTAACTAAGCAAAGTTAAATTATTACAGAACTGTTTCTGAAATATGATAAAGAAAGAAAGAACTGATACCATGCTTCAGGTATGCTGTATGTTTCAAAGAACAGTTCTTAAGAGATTAGTTCTTTGTCAAAAACTCTTTTGCATTATTTTAAAGAAACAATTTCCCTGATGAGTTTTCCACTTTATTCTCCTCAACCTTCAGTGTCAAGCAACAACATGAAAACTAAGTCTTTCTTTCATGCCGTGATGTTAATGCATTTCTATATGAGTATTATTCATTCAGAATCACACCAGCACTGTCAATTGCTTTTTACAGAAGCACAGTATAAGCAACAGGTGTAAATCAAGTTCAAAAGAAAGCCTTCCTATAGACACAGGCAGGGAATGCAGAGGTGTACTGGTAAGGAGGGAGGCACAAAAGTCTTCTACCTAGAGCAGCTGACTTCATAGCAAAAGTGATTTATATATATGCTATGTCAGTACTGTAACATTGAGCTATTAAAAGCACTAAACCCCGAAGGTTTGCATAAAAACTGAGTATCCCTTTTCTTAAATTCAGAAGCAGAAAAAAAATAATTAACTCTAGTCACTAAAGTTTCTTCAGAACATGAAAACAAAATGAATTCATGGGATACCGATACGTACAGCTATGCTTCATGATCTACAAAGCTGGTGCTTAATACCAGGAATCTTAGCTGACTTTAATAAAAAATGCAAATATAAATTAGGATTTAAAAATGTCTGTATCTTACAAGAACAGAAATTGTAATACTCATTGTTTTATACACTAAATGTGCCTATCTACAAGAAAGCCTGTCAATGCAATACACTTATTACAAGTTTTAAGAATTAATTATTCTTTGAGAACTACAGTGACATCTAAAAACCAAGAATATTTTGTCAAAAAGGGAAAGCAAGATACTGCTTTGTTTTCAAACCTGTTTCACATTTGTTAATGTCTTCATTTGAGAAAATCTTCTCTCGTGATACAGACCCCCACAATATAATTAACCTTAATGTCGGTAGATTACTTCTACCTTGGTCACTTAACACTACCAACTGCAGACAATAAAAAGGCAGAGGAGTTCTTATAGGACACTGCAAAACCAAATGTCTTCAATTATACAGAAACATAATTTTCTATACCTATAATCACAAAGTTACTTTACCTGCAGAAAAATTGAGCTCTATTTACTATAGAGAAGAAGGAATAGAACCCTCAGCTTTTAAGAAACTGAGAACCTTTCCATGTCTCACAAAACCGAGGAGAAAATGCAAAATTAGCTATGAATATATGCATCTATTCATACAAGAATAGACCTGAACTATGATGTATGAACTCTAGACAGAGCTGAATAGAAACAGAAAACCAACGTATAAAAATGCTAATACTTAAGACAAAGAAGGAAATCCCTTTTATTCTATTTTGGCTTGTGTTTGCTTGTTTGCCCTATAGCACTTTACATTTACATATTTCCTTCTTCTAATTACACGTTTTTAACAGTTTATTCCCAATCTATCATCTCAGAGGCAGTTCTTAATGATATATCAATAAACGCAAAGGGACTTTTGACCTTGAATTTGATCCAGTGCCTTCAACATCAAGTCTCTGGCAGCTGAGAGTGAAATTTTGATTAACAATTTTAAAAATCAGATCAGGCTGAATTTGAAACAGATATGCAAGGAAGAGTATTCCATGTGTACTGCAGCTGTACACAATTTTTTATAGCCACATAAAAATAAGAAGGCAAAACTTCATAGGAGCATTTAAAGAACACATTGAAACCCTGCCTCCAGATCACTGTCTCGAGTATTACCATCATCACCATCATCTACTGTATTACTCATAGATCCAGTTGCTCCATCACAAGTTACTCCAATTTAACTGTTTTAAAGCATAAGTTCAAATTCACCTTGTCATACAGTTTCCTGTCAACTAAATGAGTTCCAGTTTTCCACAGCAATGGGAAAAAACCCTGCAAAACTGACAGCAATTACATTGGGAGTGAGGGAGAACACCCATGAGTGCTGTTATGAGAAAGGGTAGTACATTTTAACATTTCAACTTCTCTGCACCAGCCAGTAAGTGATGAATTTTTTATGCATTTATTGGAAATATTACATACATCCAAATCCATAATCATATGGT